TACAATGTTCCAACATCCATCCCTTCATCGGTGTACATTTCCCACCACCAGTGTCCCCAGTTTTACTCCTTACACCCCTGCACCACCAGTATGCCTCTATAGCAGACACTTTTCTTCTCTCTCTCTCTCTCTCTCTCTCTCTCTCTCTCTCTCTCTCTCTCTCTCTCTCTCTCTCTCTCTCCCCTTCTGGTCATTATGGTCCTCAGTACAGTCTCTGTGATGCTCGCCGACTGATGTCTTTCAAAGGACACTCTGGAGGCTGGAGAGATTGAACAGAGGGAAAGCCTTGCTCAGGTTTGATCCCCAGCACCCCACATGACTCCCCAGGCCTGCCAGAAGCAAGTCCTGCTCGCCACTGGATGTGGCCCAAATCAAACAAACAAAATCATTGTGACTTCTAGCTGCCAACTCAGAAAGCCTGAGAAGAATGCACCTTCCCTAAAATCAAAAGCTAAATAGTCGCCAAAGCCCTACTTTCTCCATGTAACCCATATATGGGCTGAAGTTGCAGGACAATCGGTTAGCCCGGCGTGGAGGAAGGTGGTTGCCTGACAGGGTGGAGAGGGGTGAGCCCTGGGCTGCAGCTGAGGGCAGGGAGGAAAGGGGTGAGCCCTGGCTTGGGGCCATAGCTGGTGTTTCTCACTATTGGGCTGTTGGTTCAAAGTGAGGGTCTGAGGATGGTGTGCTGCGTGGGCCCTTCAGTGCCAAGGATCACCCGTGTCACCTCAGTAGTGCTCAGGGGGCCCTCAGGGCTCCCCCTGCTGCTCCTCTAGGGACCAGCTGGTGACAGAAACCAAACTGGGGTGGCTGCTTCCAGGGCATGTGCCTGCAGCCCTGTGCTGGCTCTCATCTCACCTGCTTAGAGGGAGGTGTGTGTGGATCAACACAGACAGGAAGAGCTTCCTTGCCCGCTTGGAGGTTCTTCCCCGACTTCTGGGTCCCTAAGGAAGCAATCGGGACACATTGGGTGGTGGGAGAGAGTCTTCCTGTGTGCACCTACCCTCACCAGACTCCTGTTGCTGAACAAACCAGTGTCTCAGGAAAAGTGAGCCTCCCTCTATTGAGGGAAAGCCCGGAGGGAGGACAGGAAAGTGGACTGCAGGTAGGGGCAGGAAACTCTCCTGAGCTGGGCCATGAGGTTCTCCCAGTGACCAGGGGAGGTAAGGAACCCCTTAATGGGCTGCCCTCAGCAAAGGGTAAACATTTGGAGACAAGACACCCTCCCCACCCTGGTGGGCGATCCCTAAGCCATGGTGGTCTGCTAGGGGGAGAGCAAGTGAGGAGGGATCCCCAGTGAGGCAGAGACACAGCTGAGGGTAGAGCAGGAACACCAGCTCCCCTAAGAAAATGGGGGAGACTTGCAGGCAGTGGGCACTAAGGGAATCCAGCCAGGAGTGCAGCCTCACTCTTGCTTGAGCCCGGCAGGAGGAAGGGCAGCCAGTGCCCAGCACAAATGCTCCTAATCCCAGTCTCTGGACTGTTATCTGTCATTCATTAAAAATTCAAGGGGTTGTTATGTATGTCCCTTCACCTATTTTTAACACTCAGTTCTTGTCTAGGGATATACACATCAACCTTTCAGTATTTGTATTGCAAACCACAATGCCCAAAAGGGAGGGGGGGAAAGAGAGAGAGAGAGGTCTGTCTTAGAGGCAGGCTGGGGGTGAGGGTGATGGGAGGGAAATTGAGGACACTGTTAACTGAAATCTAATCATAAACAGCTTTGTAAGGGTATTTCTCACAGTGATTCAATAAAAAAATTTTTTTTAATTCAGAGGGGCCTGGTATAGTACAGGGGTTAAAGCGCTTGTTTACATGTGATCTGCACTCAATTCCCAGCACTCTGTACAGTCCCCTGAGCACAGCGAGGGGTCACTCCTGAGGAGAGCAGAAAAGCCCCTGAGCTACCAGCTGTGTCCCCATCTCCACCACCCTCCAAGCCCCTAATTCGAGCATGTGTCTAGCAGGAGTGGAACATTTCTGGTGAGTGTGATCTCCAGCACCACACGCCCTCAGAGCACTACCAGGCGTCTGCCCCGTGGCCCCAGGACTGCCTCTACTGGCCTCAGTGACTCCTGAACACAAGATCCAGGCTGGAACTGAGCTCTGCCTGGAGGGACCCCAGGCTCTTCCAGCACTACTGAATGTGGTCCCTGTAAAAAATAACTCTGACACACTAAAGAGCAAGTATAAACGATACCCTGTCAAGAGACAAAAACATCAGTAAAAGCAGACTCTGGGATGGCTCAGATGTTGAAATAATCAGGTGGGACATTTGAAATAACTAAATGTTGAGGACTCTTGTGGGAGATGTGATGCCCATGCCTGAGTAGGTAGGGGTTCAGCACTGAGCTGGAACTTGGGAACCAGGCGTAAATGCTACAAGGATACAAGTGTGGTGAAGGCGGCAAAGAAATGCCTTTGATAGGCCAATCAGTAGATTCAACATGGCTGTGGAATGAAGTATGAGCTCCAAGGTCAGTAGACATGATCAAAGCTGAGGGGGCCAGAGAGATAGTACAGTGGGCAGGGCACTTGCCTTGCATGCAGCTGACCAGAGTTAGGATTAAACCTTAAGCACCGTGGGGCATGGTCCAAAAGTCAAAAAAGGAAAAAGAATTGCTTATTTTTTCAGCCATTATAAAAGCATTTTATTTTTAAAGCAAAAATAGTCTATTACAATACAACCCTGAACTGAGCTAGGATTAAACCCTAAGCACCATGGAGGCATGGTCCAAAAGTCAAAAAAGGAAAAGGGATTGCTTATTTTTCAGCCATTATAAAAGCATTTTATTTTTATTTATTTTTAAAATTTTTTAAAGCATTTTATTTTTAAAACAAAAATAGTCACAGTACATTATGAGTCTGAAGAACATGTGGACCAAAATTGTACAACAGTGCAAAAGATTGGGTACAAGGGGATTGGAGCTTGTAGTTGTTACACAGTAATGTAAAGTGATGAATTATTATTTGGGGGTTGACTATTTAAGGATGCATATTGTAAAAAATCATTCAAACGTGTTAGAAGGGGCATGAATAAAAAGGCCAGTGTTCAGAGAAACTCACATACCGTGTGATTATATCCACTAATATTCTATTATTTTTGTTTTATTGTTTTGGGGCCACACCCAGCAGTGTTCTGGGTTTACTCCTGGCTCAGGGATCGCTCCTGGCAGGCTCAGTGGACCACAGGGATGCTGGGGATCAAACCCAGGTGAGCTGCAAAGCAAGGCAAGCTCCCGACCCGCTATATCTTCTGATATTCTTGAAAGCTGCCAAGAGAGTGGACCTCCAGTGTTCTCACCCAAAGAAGGAAATGCTAGGTAGGGTCTGGGAGAGCAGTTGGTGGCATACATGCTTAGTGGTGTCGTGCCCTGTGCCTGATCCTTGGTACCTCATGGCCCCCAAGCACCTACCCTGGACCTCTGGGCTGAGCGTTAAAGGGAACGCCTCAGCCCATGATGTGTTCACTGATGGAGTTAGTGACACCCAGACTGACAGGATTTTCCTGTTGGACTCTAGGAAGAAGCTGCTTGGCTGGCATGGCAGTTAACCACCCCGAAGCCGAGCTGTCTCTTGTGCCACATGGGTTAACCGTGCAGAGAGCCAGACACCATCCCAGACACTTGTTCTTTCGATGCCAACTTGCCTGCAGGCAGAGATAAAGTGGAAGTGGTCCGAGGGAAGGCTGTGGAGTGACTGACAGGGTGCCTTGGAATTCACCGGTCCAAGTCCCGCCACCTGGGACCTCAACGTGGGCCCTTCTTTAGAAATGAACTCCTTACAGACGTGATCAAGTTAAAGTAAGGTCACTCGGGTGGGCTCTCATCCAGTGACCAGTGCCCTCATAAAAAGGGCTACTCTGGACACAGACACAGGCCGGGGAGAGAGGGGTGGGCCTCTGTGGGAGCCAACTCTGAGCTGGACCAAGAAACAGTGTCCCACGCTGTGGCCTGGCTGCGTGGGCTCGCTCGTCACAGTAAGTGTCTGTGACCAGCAGTGTAAGGAGGCGAGAACCAGGCTTCCTACCCCTCGGAGGCACTCAGGGGCCGCTCAGTTGGGGTGTCACAGGCTTAGTGTAGATCACCCTGGTTCTGCATTTGCAGGCTTAAACCCCACCAAGTAGGTTGAATGAGAAGGAAGAAGCAATTACATAAATACAGGCTGGAATGGTAATAGAGTGGGGAAGGCGTTTGCTTTGCACATGGCCCACCCAGGTTTGATCCCCAGTACCCAATATGGTCCCCGAGGCCTGCCACGAGTGATCCCTGAGCGCAGATCCAGGAGTCAGCCCTGAGCACCACTGGGTATGCCCCCTCTCCCCGTCCGAAATTACATAAGTATAAAACATGGACAACATCGAAAATGTGTGGATGCTCAGATGTTAGTATTGTCAGAGTTCGCAAAATGTTAGTAGGAGCTGCAAGTAGATGTAGAAGAAAAGGTAAGTTAATGTTTCGTTGTTGCTGTTTTATAAAAAGGCCAATAATAGGACTGGTTAGTGGCTAGATGTAGGAGCAGTTCTGTTGCCATGGTGAATATTCAGAGCTGCCCCTGACACAGCACACGCAGGCCTGTCCACACCTGTGCACACGCACACAGGTGCGTGCTTGTACACCCACGCATGCCCCTCCCCACATGCACACACCAGGACACGTGTGCACGCACACACTGCTACCCCAGCCTGATTGTGGTGCTGGCGAGCGTCTTCCCGGCACGCTCCGCATCTCCCAGCGGTCCCAGCCGGGTCCTCCTGAGGCTGGGAACCTCCAGCCACGCTAAGCAGGCAGGCGCGAGGGAACCTCCCGCAGGATCCCTAAACAGGCAGGACACGGTGACAGACGCAGGTGCGCACAGAGCTTTATTTCTGCAGGATTCCTGAGGGCTGGCTCCCGCAGGCCGGGTGTGTGAGCGGTGGCGACCTCGAGCCCTCCCAGGGTGCCGAGCCGGGGCGGGATGGGATGGAGACAGTGCCGTCCATCCGGGGGTCCCCGCCTCCGTCACGCGGCGGAGCCCCAGTCCTGCGGGGCCGCAAGTCCCGGCCCGAGGCTGCCGTCCCCCGCGCGCGTGCAGGGCGCCTGCGGAGCGGCCGGGGCGCGCACCGGAGTTGGGGTGGGAGGCGGCCCGGTGCTCTCCTGGGTGGGCGCCCTGCGTTCCGGGAAGCAGAAGCTGCACGTCTCCACCGGCTCCAGCGGCCCCGCGGCGCTCCCGGCTTCCATCCAGTGATCTGCTCGAGGGGAACCGCGTTGGCCTCGGCCGGACCTGCCCGCCTCTCTCGGGGGACAGCGGCAAGGAAACGGCGGCGACCGCAGCGGGTAAACCGGCGTTGCTCCGCCAACCCCAACTCCCCGACTAGGCTCCCACACCCTCCAGCTCCCGAGTTGGGGCGCCTGGGCAGGAGCGGGCTGGGGGGGGGGGTTCTGCGGTCACCCCAACCCTCCAGGTGATCCCCGTCCAACTGGGTGGTCGGTCACTCACCCCCACCCCCAGGCTGTCCGCCCCCAATCATCCCGGCCTTGCTGTCCACTCGGACTTCAGTAAGGCAGGGCGGGACCGCAGGGCCCGGCTTGTCTCAAGAGCAGGAGGACAAGAACCACCGTGGAGGCTCACCCTTGGTGGACGTGGCCCCCGGCCGGCAGGGCCCCGGCGGGGGCGGGCCAGAGAACTGCGCGCTTCTCCGCTTGAGGAAACAGGCAACGGCCAGCAGGAAGCAGCAGAAGATGGCGCCCAGGCAGAGCCCCAGGGTGCTGTAGACCAGGGCCAGCTGCTCTGTGCTCAGCTTCAGTCCCGGGGGCACTGCAAGAGAGTGGGGTGGGGAGGGCTAAGGAGGGGCTCCTAACGCTGAAACCCCTCTAGAGCTGCAGCAACAAAGACCTGCCCTCCTACCCTGACTGGGAAGACAGACCACCCCCCACTGCCTCCACCCCCATCCACCACCCCCTGCTCTAGCAGCTTCTCCCAAGACCTCAGCACAGCCCACCTCCTGGTGGCCCTCTTGCTGTGTGTCCTGGGTGGGGCAGTTTCAGAGGGGGAAGGACAACATGGATCAGAGGCTAGGGAGGGTCTCTCTCAGCCTGGCCCGAAGCTTCCTCCCCTAGAGAGCGGGTAACGATCTTGAGGAGACTGCAACTGCTCAGGGCCTGCGGGATGGGGAGGGGGGTGTTGGGAAAGCGGGGGCTCCCACCCCCAGGCCTGTCTGTCACTCTGCCTCTCAGAGGAATCTCAGCCCAGAGTCAAATAAATGCCCCACTTGCCCAAGCCCCTCATTCTCCCGGTGTCTTGCGTTGGGTGGAAAGCCAGACCAGCACTTGGGATTTGAATGGCATCAGCAAGTGCACGGCAACTTAAGCCCTCCTGTGCCAGGCATGTCTGCCAAAGTAACAGTTTAGAAGACATCTGCAAGCCTGTGGGGTCAGGGTGCCCTCATCCCAAGGACATTCCAGCCACTGTGTGCCACCTCGCTCCCTTGGGGTTGCTGCAGCCGGATTTCTGCTCTGCGCACTGCAGGAAGGGCCCACTCCAGGACCCCCCACCCCAGCACTACTTCCTCCAGCCTCGCATGTTTGGAGGTTCATGTGTAGCCTGCTGCCTGTGGCCCTGGTACCCTCCCTCCCCCCCTCCCGCTGAAGGACACTCCCCACCAGCCACATCCCGGGATCCCCTCATCCAAGCAGGGCCTGGGCGGTTCCCCCTTCTGCTCTTAGCCTATTGCTGCTGTGGACGTGAGTGCAGGGGCTCCCTGTGGGCGCCAGTGTTTGGAGTTTGTGGGTGCAGGTTCCTAGGATTGTCCCCCCTCCCATGATGGTGCCTCTGTTTCACTCTGCTAGGAACTGCCGGGCTTTCTCCCATGGTGGCCGACCATGTCATTTCATTTTGCAGATGACAAAACTGAACCCCAGAGTCATCTGTTCATGGTGAAGACCCGCATGCCGATGGCTGCACTCTGGCCATGTCACCCTCCTTGGTGCGGGCTCTCCATCCTTGGTGTCAGGGGATTTATTAAGTGGGAGAGTTGCTAGGTGTCACTCTGACATTTTGCTGAAGAGATAGAAACTGGGTGGGTGGGGTTCACCGCCCTAGACCTGCAAACATCTTGCACCAGGATTCAGAAGCCAAGGAGGGAGAAAGTGACGACACCCCCTGGAGGATCCCCACATGCTGGGGCCCCACACTGGGAGACCGAGGCCCCCAAAGGGCCAGAGGAGCCACAGGGAGAGCCCAGGGCAGAGCAGGGGCCCTGCTCGTGACCACAAGTCCCACGAGCTGCTCTGACCTGCATCTGGAATAAACCGTTGCCCTGGCTGGACCAATAGTTGAGGCCATGGGCACTGGGAGATGGCTCACAGGACATGAAAGTATGTGGGAGCCCCTGATCTGATCCCTTGCACCCCCATGGTCTCCTGAGCACTGCTGGAAGTAGTCCCCCTGCACCACGGGACATGAGTCAAAAATCAAAAAAGTAGCGAGACAGCAGGCTTTATGAGAGGTGATAGGTCACCTGTGCTACTGCAAACTGCTGGCGTGTGAGGGGCTCCAGAGAATGCCCCCTGCCCCCCATCCTGTACCCGCATACTGGCCAAGCAGTAGACTACTGCGGTGCCAGTCCTGGCCTGTTCCCCCAGTAGGTGCTTTCTGGGTTGCCCTGAGCTGCCACAGAGAAAGTGAACTGTCTTGTGGCCCTGGACTGTCCAGTCTCACTCCGAGGGATGCACTTAAGCATCTGCAGAAGAAAGCAGAGAGAGAGAGAGAGAGAGAGAGAGAGAGAGAGAGAGAGAGAGAGAGAGAGAGAGCGAGCTCCCAGGGTGCATCCCGCACCATCGACCTCTGCTGCCTGGAGCTTTGCTGCCGCCGGCCTCAGCCACCCCAGAACCTGGGTAGATCATCAGATGGGTGGAGGGCCACAAAGGATAAATTAAGTGGGTTGGGGGTGCCTCGGTGGACATCTAGGACAGACTCTGCTCCCTGCATGGAAAGAACTTGTACCACTCTTCCTCAGCCCCCTCTGCCCAGCCCAGCCCACCCACAGCAAGTTTCCTGAAGGAAAGTACCAGGACTCCAACCTCCCGACTTGCTCCCAAGCCTGCCTAACCCAAAGGCCTAGCCCAGGACCAGCAGTGGCAGGTAAATAAGAAAGAACTAAGCCAAAGGGGCCCCTCGGAGGATCGTTCAGATTCACATGTTCACACTTAAAGTGGACTTTCCCCATGGCCATGGACCCTCCCATCTCAACACCCTGGACATGGCTGTCTGCTTCATCCTGAGGGCTGACCCGCCAGGGACAGGTTAGTAGGAATCTGCAATAAGACGGGTGATGAGAAGCAGCAGCTCCAAGTCCTTTTTCTTGACAAGACTTGGGCCCCACGCTAAGTAGCTTGGAAAAGATGCTATATTATCAGCTTCCCAGAGCAATACCTTCTGTTGACAGAAGATTTGAAGGTCAACTCCTGGTGGCTACCTGGCTCTGCAGAAGCTCTGAGTCCCTTGGGTAGTGCTCATGCCCTTTTTTTTTCCTGGGGGAGGGGGACGGCACAGGGAGTGTCCCTGGAAGTGCTCAGGGCTTACTCCTGGCTCTGTGCTCAGGGACCATTCCTGGTAGTGCTCAGGGGACCAGATGGGGTCATACCCAAGTCGGATGGAACCCGAGTCAGCTGTGTACAAGGCAAATGCCCTACCCTGCTGTACTCCTGTTCTGGCTCATATTCTTTAAAACTTTTCAATGTCACCTTCTGTTCTTTGCTGTGAGTGTGGACAGAGAACCTGGCCCCCTGGTCAGACTGGCTTTCCCTGCCAACAGCATCCCCTGGCCTCAGCACGTGATTCCCTGAGCATCTAGCTCATGCAGTGCAAGGTCATCTAGGTCAACTCAGGCAGAAAGGTCATCCAATGACAGCTTTCACGGGCTGGCAGGACACCGTGTCCCTGCCACGTGGCGGCTCGGTCAGGTGCTCCAGGGCCATCTCAGCCCTCACATCCCTGATATGGTGGTGGGCTAGATAGGATCAAGGGGAATACCCCTGTTGCTTGCCTCTTCCTGCTCTGTGGCCCCCCTTTCTTCCTTTTCATTCTGGGGGTCTTGCAAGTGATGCTCACGAGAATCGGGTTCCCTGTGATTCTTGGCCAAGCTGGCCAGCAGGTGAGGGCATGAGGATGTGATGCTGGGCATCACCACAGACCCTGGGCTGTGCTCAGAGACTGATGCCAGCTACAGAACCAGGTATGGAACCAGGCTCAGCTGCACGCAGGACGCATACCTTCAGTACTGGTCTGTCTCTCTGGCCTGGCTCCCTCTTTCACCCATATATTTCCTGACACCAAAAAGAAACAAGGAGAGGGAAACAGGGGTGGGTAAGAGCATATGTGGGCTGGAGCAAGAATACAGTGGGTAGGGCGCTTGCCTTGCACATGGCCGGCCTGTGTTTGATCCCCAGCACCACATAGGGTCCCCTGAGCACTGCCAGGAGTAATTCGTGAGCATAGCTGGGTGGGAACCAAAGACAAAAACAAACCAAAAAAGGGAACAAAGACCATATGTGGAAAGACAAAACAATGACAATAGTTTTCTCCATAAATAAAGATAGAGAGAACCTAGCTTGGAATGGGACAAGAATCCCCAGTGCCTGTCCCACCATTTTTTTTTTTGTTTAATTACCATGATGGTTTTATTTTAAAAAATGATCTGGGTATGGGCTGGAGCGATAGCACAGCGGTAGGGCATTTGCCTTGCACGCAGCCAACATGGCCGACCCGAGTTCGATTCCCCCGCCCCTCTCGGTGAGCCCGGCCAGCTACCGAGAGTATCTCGCCCGCACGGCAGAGCCTGGCAAACTCCCCGTGACGTATTCGGTATGCCAAACACAGTAACAACAAAGTCTCCAGTGGAGACGTTACTGGGCCCGCTCGAGCAACTCGATGAACAACGGGAGGACAGTGACAGTGACAGTGATCTGGGTATAACAGTTCCTAGTAGAAAAGCCGCTCAGAGCCACTCTGGTGGTGCACCCCTCTCAGAGCCTTGAAGGGGAGGATGCGGCACTCAGGTCGCTAGTGTGACTGTCTCTGTGATGGTGGTGGGAAGCCGCTGGCTCTCTGGGACCTGACCCACCAGACTGGAGTCCTCTCTCATTTAATTGCTACCCTCTCACCCCATGGGAGCACAGGGGAACAAATTTCAGATTGTCTGGGAATGAAAATCTTCCCTCGAGAATGGCTTGGAGTGCAACTGTAGTGCAGCACCGCCAGGGGGCAGCACCCTCCAAGTGGTTTCTAGACCCACAGGGCAGTTTGCATTTCCAAACCGGTGATTGTTTTTGGTTAATAAGAGTCTTCACATCCAAGAATAGCCGAGATAAATACCAGGAGGTTTACTCCATGGCTTGGAGGCCAGCCACACACTCTAGGGGTAAAGGCAGCTCAGATAGAGAAGGGAGCACCAAATAAAGGGTGGGAGATGGATGCTGAAAGTATGGGAGGATGGGAGATGCATGCTGAAAGTAGACTATAGACCAAACATAATTGCCACCCAATGCCTCTTTTGCGGACCACAGCACCCTAAAGGAGAGAGAGAACAGGAGGGAGTGCCCTGCCACGGAGGCAGGGTGGGATGGGGGGATGGGGGATGGAGGGATACTGGGATTAGTGGTGGTGGAGAATGGGCACTGGTGGAGGGATGGGCACTCGATCATTGTGTAACTGAAACCCAAGCACAAAAATTTGTAAGTCTGCAACTGTACCTCAAGGTGTTTCACTAATAAAAATGAAAAAAAAAAGTGAGCTCTCACATAAATGTAGAATTTCCCTGGCCTGCTGCTTCCCCAACTCAGACTCAGGCTGGCTGTTTGGATGCTTTGTAGCATTGCTTTGTAGTAATGCTTTGCTCTGGGGGGGAGGGGAGGGTCTTTGTGGCCCTGGCAAGCCTGAGCCAGAAATCCAGGCCAGTCCTGGACTGCTGGGCCGGTTTCAGCCAGAGCAGAAAGGCTGATTTTAATCCCGGGTCCTGCAGCCACAGCTCACTGCATTGAATGTGACTTCTGGACATTTCACTCTTCATTAATTCATTTCCTCATCTGTAAACAGAACATGACATTCCTGTCTTTCAGCATTGTCATTCCTGAGGTAAATATGTACCGGGTGGCAGGCCTGAGTGGAAAGTTTGAGGATCGCCCAGCATCCTTGAGCTCTCTATTTCTTCCCACCGGAGATCGAACCCAGGGCCACCCGCAGGGAAGGCCTGAGCTTTCCCACGAAGTCACATCTGTGACGGGGCTTCCCGTTCCCCCCTCACAGAAGACTGCACAGCAGCCAGCCCCCATCTTGTCCCAAGCCCACGAGCTGACTCGGGCTCATTGCTCCCTCTGAGCGCAGTGCCCGCCCTCGGGGGTTCCCTCCACGGGAATGGGTCTCCTCTCCAAGCCTCGTCCCCACCAGCCTGGCCCCAGAGGCCCGTTCCCTTTCACGACGTGGGTGTGCTACTTGCCTTGCGCTTCCTGCACTGCTGGACCCTTCACTCCTGGAATGAGACTCTCCTCTGGCCACTGCCTCCCTCCTCAGTGACCTTTTATGGACTTTGCAGGGTTCATGAAGCTAGGGGTCTAGAGCTGAGCTGATCCTCGCTTTGGTTGGGTTTGGGGGCCATTTTACTTTTATTTTGGGGCCACACCCGGCTGTGCTCAGGGCTTACTTCTGGGTCAGTGCTCAGGAATTATTCCTGGTGGTGCTCGAAGTACCAGATGGGATGCTGGGGTTCAAACCAGGGTTGACTCAAGCAAGCCAAGCACCCTACCCACTGTGCTATCTCTCCAGCCCCATGACCTGATCCTGGATGGGGGTCAATTCCATGATGAGTGTCCTTGCAAAAGAAGAGAGCTAGAAGACAGGCTCGGACACTCAGGGGGAGCCAAGGAAGATCCAACCTAGACTGCTGGGTGTGGCGCAGCCCAAGGAGTGTGACCCCTGAGCTGGAGGAATTGAGAAAGGATATTCTTTGGAGCTTTTACTTTTCATTTTAATTTTTTATTTTTTTGGAGGGGGTCACACTCAGTTGTGCTCAGGCTTACTCAGGAATCACTCCTGGTATGGCTGGGGAACCATATGGGATCCTGGGGATCAAATCCTGGTAGACTGGGTGCAAGGCAAGAGCCGCACCCGTTGTGCTATCTGGTCCCAACACATGCATGTGAAGTGTTGTTCTGTTTTGTTTTTGGGTCACACATAGCAATGCTCAGGGGTTACCCCTGACTCTGCACTCTGCATTGATTGGGGGTTGTGGATCCCTGTGTTGGCTGTGTACAAGGCAAGCTCCCTACCCACTGTGCTCGCTCTCTGGCCAAGGTAAAGGTAAAGGTAAAGGCCCTCCCGTTGATCGTCGATTTGCTCGAGCGGGCCCAGTAACGTCTCCATTGGAGACTTTGTTGTTACTGTGTCTGGCATGTCGAATACCCTCGGTAGCTTGCCGGGCTCTCCGAGAGGGGCGGAGGAATCGAACTCGGGTTGGCCATGTTGGCCGCTTGTAAGGCGAACGCCCTACCCGCTGTGCTATCGCTCCAGCCAAATGTTGTGAATTAAAATTTCACTCATCTTCCGATCTCCCTGTGCAGTTCCCACAGTATTGCAGCATCCAGTGTTTCTCTGTGATCCTATGTGTTCTGTTGGATGCCCTTGACGGCTTTATTCCAAGGTGAGGTTCGGGGACTCCCCCAAGCTGAGCATGGGGCTGAGAGCTGCTGCTGTGCTGAGGGGACCTTTCTGTCCCTATAATCCAGCACCAAGGAGCTGCCCGCCCGCATGTCCTTGTATTTCTTGTCTTTGCCAGCGGAGGCCTCTGTCTTTGCCAGGAAGAGGCCCTCCCAGGCCCTCAGTGGCTCCCTTGTGGTCACCATGCCCAGGCCCCCAGTCTTGTGCCGGGGCTGCCTGTGGGCGGCCTGGACACCTCACCTCTTCCTGAGTCCACAGCGTCTGATCCCCCTGGCTGCCGTGCCCCCCCCCCCCCCCCCCGTAGCCCTCCGGTTTTCATCTCTCCCCCCGCCCTCCTTCCCCTCCCCCACCCCTCAGGACGAGGCACTTGGAGTCCCGCCTAGTGTCCCGCCCAGTGTGCTGGATGAGGCCGGGCTCCAGATTTGGGGATTTGCTTTGCTCCGATTTGGGCCCCTCTAGCCCATGCGCGGGGGCTCCAGGCAGTCTGAGGACAGATCCTGGGGTTTCCGCGTGTGGAGCACCTGCTTTACTCTGATGCCTGAGGTCCTGCCCTTGGCCCACAGCTGGGAGAGCTGACAGGAAAGCCTGGTGCTCCCTGTAGTGGTGCCACGGGAGACCCAGACCCCACAAACTCCTCACCTGGGGGATGCTCACCCCCAGCCCCAGCCACAGCAGACCTGGCTCCTTGCTGCTCCCAGACTGGCCGCTGTCTGCTCTTCCCAGAAAGCCCCCCAGAGCCCCTCTCTGCGAATGCTGACAAACTCTGGGGGACAGCCTAGCTTCTCTGCACCCCTGCCTCAGGCTGGGATTCAGTCCCAGTCTTGCTCAGAGCTCCTGCCAGCTTCCCTGCACCCCTGCCACTCCTCCCCCCAGCACCAGCCGGAGTTGTACCCTCATCCCCTCACCCTGACCCTGAGGTGTGTTCCCTTGCCCCTCTTCACCCTGCCACAAGCATGGAAGAACTCTGTCTCAAGAACAAGACTCGGAAAGCAAGGAACTTTAAAAAGGCTGCAAAGCAGTGTAGGGTGGGACCAGGGGCCTGACCTGAGCCTTCACCACCCTTTTCCCCCCTCCTTAGGATGTCCGCCCCATCCTTGCCCACATGACCCAGCAGACAGGATGAATGGAGTATGTGTGAGCAGCCCCGTTAGACCATGACTGGTGCTCAAGGACAGGCCTGTCCCGTGCACATTATTTTATCTTTGCAAAGCAGGAAGCCGCCAGCAGCAGAGAGCGTCAGAACTGCTCTCTGTGGACGGGCCCATGGCAGTGCTTGTGTCTGCTCAGGCATTGGTGAATTCTTTTTCTGGATCCTTCCTTCCTACTGCACGCCACTAAACAGAGGCTCAGTCCATGAGCACTGTACTCATCCCTAGAGCTGAGTGTCCCGTAGCTCACTTTTTTTTCTTTAGCTTCTTTTTTGGGTCACATCCAGCAATGCTCAGAGGTTACACTGGCTCTGCACTCAGGAATTACTCCTGACGGTGCTTGGGGGACCATATGGGGTGCCAGGGATCGAACCCTGGTCAGCTGTGTGCAAGGCAAATGCACTATCCACTGTACTATCGTTCTAGCCCCCTGTGATCACTTTTAGGGGATCTTCCTTGTCTCACACAGAATCAAGGTCTTGTTGGCACTGTTAGCTGTGCATGCCCTCTGGGTCTCAGGATGGGCTCTCGGTGGTCAGCCTGATTTACAGGCAAGCTTACCTGGACCCGCCTCTGCACCTCTGTGCTGTGGTCCCTGATTCCGTCCAAGGTTGCTAGACCTGATTCCGGTCTCTTCAGTTCGCTGTCTCCTGACCTCAGTTGGGAACTTTGCGGTGCTCCTGAACTTGTCACAGAAGAAGGTGCATTGCATGGGGTGGCGGCCACAGATAGAGGCACAGCTGATGCAGTCTTTCAGCAGCTGGTCGTAGTACCAGCCCTGCTCCTTGTGACAGTTGAAGGACTCTGGGAAACAGAAATGAGGGATGCCCTAGGGTGACAGACAGCAGCAGATTGTCTAGCCTTGGAGGACAGTAGAGTTTAAAAAGAAATCCATGGGGGCTGGAGCAATAGTACAGTGGGTAGGACATTTGCCTTGCATGCGGCTGACCTGGGTTCAATTCCCAGCGTCCCATATGGTCCCCTGAGCACCACCAGGAGTAATTCCTGAATGCAGAGCCAGGAGCAACCTCTGTGCATCACCAGGTGTGACCCAAAAAGCAAAAAAAATAAATAAATAAATAAAAGAAATCCGCTGGGGTGGTCCAGGAATCCCTGGCACCAGAGAGCAGCACTGCATCCTCGGGCCCTGTACTGCATCCTCGAGTCCTCACTGCATCCTTGGATCCTCACTGCATCCTTGGGTCCTCACTCCATCCTTGGGCCCTGTACTGCATCCTCAGGCCCTATACTGCATCCTCGGGTCCTCACTGCATCCTTGGGTCCTGTACTGCATCCTCAAGACCTGTACTACCTCCTCAGGCCCTGCACTGCCTCCTCGGGTCCTCACTGCCTCCTCGGGTCCTCACTGCATACTTGGGCCCTCACTGCATCCTCGGACCCTGTACTGTATCCTAGGGCCCTCACTGTATCCTTGGGCCCTGTAATTGCATCCTTGGGTCCTCACTGCATCATCGGGCCCTGTACTGCATCCTCAGGTCCTCACTGCATCATCAGGTCCTCATTGCATCCTCGGGCCCTCACTGCATCCTCAGGTCCTCACTGCATCCTTGGGTACTGCACTGCAACCTTGGGTCCTGCACTGCATCTTTGGGCCCTGCACTGCATCTTTGGGCCCTGTACTGCATTTTTGGGTCCTCACTGCCTCTTAAGGCCCTCACTGCATCATCGGTTCCTCACTGCATCCTTGGATCATCACTGCATCCTCGAGTCCTCACTGCACCCTTGGGTCCCGCACTTCAACCTCGGGTCCCACACTGCATCCTTGGGCCCTGCACTGCATCATCGGGTTCTCACTGCATCCTCACACCCACTGGTCTGGTGGGCTGAGCATTGCTACTGCTTGGGAGACACCACAACCAATAATAAAATAAGGAAACATTTAAAAATATAGTCTAATTTTGCAAAAGCAATTCCAAGGGCTCAGGAGGCATGCCCCTCCTGCCTGAGCTTGAATCCTGCATTGTATGTGTCCACAGGCCCACTGGGTATAGCCCTGAAAGCACTTCTGGGTCTACACAATGCCACATTGCCAAGCCCAAGCCTTGAACCCTTGGCTGATTGGTCACACGTTTCCAGAGCCAGTATCCCCTGAGAAGTGCTTTGAAGGTACCCCTTATAAAGCAATTCCAGAGTAATCCAAATTTCCAATATGGGAATCAAGGTTGTACATTATCCTCTAAGGACTGTTATATTAGCATCTCATGCATTTAATAAGTAACTGTTGGATGATGAGCCACATCTGGTGGTGCTTGTGGAATGACTCCTCATCTTGGTGCTTGGAAATCACTCCTGATGGTGCTCAAAGGACCACTAGGAGCTGGGGCTCAAACCCAGGTCTCCCACATGCAAAATATGGACTCCAACCCTTTGGGCCATCTCCCTTGCCCTATATATATTTTGGTATGTAGCATTTTCTAGAAATATTGTTTAAAATGCTTTTACTTTTCATTCTTATTTCATTCTTTTAGGCCTATAGGTAATTGACAAGTGTATTTCTTGGTTTCTAAACTTATCATGGATTTTTTAAAGTTATCCTTTAACATTGATATCCAGTTTATTACATTGTCATGCCAAACTCTTTAAATTTCAAATCCAATAAAGGAGAAGCATTTATTAAACTAAGAATGGGTTGGTACCAGAGAGATAGAACAGCAGGCAAGGCCTTTACTTGCCTTACACAAAGCTGACCGGGGTTCACTTCCTCACACCTTATGGACCCCCAAGCTCCACTAGGAGTGATCTCTGAGTGATCTCTTACTCTTAAACCAGGAGTAAGCCCTGAGTACTGTGAGGTGTGGCCCCCAAACAAACAAAAAATAGTAAGGGTGGGATGAGTCACACAGTGACTCTAAGCACCTCCTCAGGCATGAAGCTCTTGCTCCTTATGTAACTGTGCAAGGGGAGCTCACAGCCTGCAGATACGGTGCAGATGCAGAGACCTCAGTGTACCAGGGAGAACAGAAACAGCGAGTGGGAAGAGCTCAGCAGTTAGGGCAATGCCTGGCATATGGTTGACCTGGGTATGACTCCTGGCAGCACATGATCCCCCAAGCACTTCTGGGGTAGCCCAGGGCATCTTTGGCACTACAGGACCTGAGCAGGACTATTCTCAGGTCCTTGCACTGAGCCCACTGTGTATGTGAGTGTGGCAAGGGGGTGGGGGTGGGGGGCAGATCCCAGACCTCCTGAGTACTACTCTGAAGCCCCATCCCCTGCCCACCTACCCCCCCCAAAAAAGCCTCAAATACAACAGAGCAAGTTATAAAAAAGAACAAACAAAGATTTTATTTTTCCAAACCTCAAGGAAAATTGGATATAGTCTGAGTCTTAGTTATTAAGAGTTATTCCTTGGTAGATGGAATATTAAGGTTCAGAGATCCTGTGTATTAGAAATTCAGGATCCAGTATTGCAGAAATGATGAGTTCTTCCACTAGCTCTTAAATGCACAAGCACAACGCTTTTTTCAGAGCAAAAAGGCAGAATTGTTCTGATGTTGGAAGCTGACGATTTGTCAGACTTTCCTCTTTGTGTATGTTTGGCAATTTCTACATTAAAGTTTCAGAAGAGGGTATGGAGAGATTTTTTTTGCATGCTGCCAACCTGGTTTTGAACACTGGCATCCCATAGGGTCTCTCAAACCCACCAGGAATGAGTTCAGAGCTAAGAGTATACCCTGAGAACCACCGGATATGGCCCAGAAAGGCAAAGCTGATGTCTACTGGACAGCCAAAGACCCCTGTGAGTGTGACTGAGTCCTGAGGGTGGGTCAGAGGATCCCAGGAAAGCAGCAGCGGGCACTCTGTGCAGGGACAGGCGTGCGCAGGGCTGTGAGGCAGTGCCAGCCTGGGTAGGGGACAGGGAGTTCAGAACAGAGACTTGGTGGAAGCAGCCCCACTCTGCCCACGGTCCACCCTCCCCATGCCAGTGACCCTAGCTCAGTGAGACCAGCAGCCCTGCGCACCCCAGAACTCACTGCAGAAGGCTGCACAGGTGCGTGGAATCTGATGGCTGCAGATGGATTTGCAGGAGATGCAGACACTCAGCAGAGTGTCCCAGTAGTGCTCTTCTGGGCAGGGCTCCATGGCCACTCTGGACTGCAGGCCCTGTGGACTGAGAGGCAGGAGCGTGAGGGAAACGGGCGTCCCACAGAGGCTGGGATTCTTGTGGCTTCTTTGACACAGTTTCCACTTGTTTTCCTAGAGACCAGGAGGGCTGTAGACAAAGCTGCTTCTACCTGTAGCTGCCACTCCTGGGGAGCCTGAGCAGGGGGACATCACCCACATGGATCTCAGTTTCCCCATCTGTGAAGTGGTTATTCTGAAGCTTTCATCTCAGTCATGTTCTGCCCTTGTTACCGCACTGTACTTCTGGTACCCCAGGATATTTTCCTCCTTCTTGACTGTCTATATTTCCCTCTACCTTCAGATCTCAGTTTTGTCTTGATTTCTACAGGGAAGTCTTTTGGGATCTTCCCTCAACAAGGTAATCCCTCCTGTGCACTGACCTGCCCTTTTCTTGTCACTGTTGTCCAGTTGCTTTTATGAATGTGATTCTTTGGTGCTATTCTCCATGAACTATGAATAGCACGCAGGAGGAGATTCTAATTTTTCAGTTTGCTACAGGGTACTTAGAAACTAACAGTGCCTAGACATAGTAGGTGCTCATTAAATAAATTAATGGGTGGGTGGATGGGTGGGGAGAGCAAATAGGGGTCAGAAAGAGAGTATAGGGGCTAAGGCGCTTGCCTAGCATGCACCTAACCTTGGTTCAATCCATGGCACCACAAGGCCTCCTAAGCATTTCTGGGTGCTACTCTGTAGGGGCACCCAAGCACCACCAGGTGTGGCCTGGAGTCCCATCGCCCTGGGCCAGGGTAGGACAAATAATCCCCAGCACTGCAAGGCCCAAACAGCACCACAACTTCAGACCCTTGCATAGAACTGTCAGCTTGGGTGGCTGAGCCTCTCCTGGAGGAGCCTCCAAGGCCTATTGAGCACTGCACGGCTCAGGAGCCACCCACCACACACACACACACACACACACACACACACATGCACACACATGCGCACACATATGCACACACAGCACACACAGCAACACACAGCAACACACGCACACATGCACACACACACACACATAAGCACACACACATGCACACACAGCAATACACACGCACACATGCACACACACGCACACACGTGGCCCAGAAAAAGGAAGCCAACTGCCTGTGCTTGACGTACAGCACTTAGTGTCATTGTCTTCCCTTTGTTCCCAAGGCATAGCACAGCACACACAGCTGGCACACGCTCCTGTTTCTGCCACTGCCAACCAGATATGGAGCCTTCCTTGCACGCAGAAGACTTCCCAGCTCTCACTCACTCCAAAAGACGCTTCTGGTTGTGATTCTCGCCCTGCTCTGCCAACACGGGCTGCTCACACGAGGGTGTCACACCGTGCAGTGCTCAGGGCTTACCCCTGGCTCAGCACTCAGGAGTTACTCCTGGAAGTCCTTGGGGGACCATATGGGGTGCTGGGGATTGAACCTGGTCGGCTGCATGCAAGTCAAGCATCTTCTCCACTGTAATATGCTTCAGTTTCCCCAGATTTCTGAGATTTGTCCCTGAAGCAGTTTGCTCTAAGTGAGCGTCCCGTGTAGGAATGCATTCTCTTACTTTTCTTGTGTAAGAAAATTCACTTCCCCAGTTTCTTCTTGTCAACATTTTGCAGGGGGTTAGTTTATTCCTCAACAGCAGTAGCTGAGGGATGACCCAGGCCCACTTTGAACACAGCAGCTTCCACACAAGGCTCATTTTCCTGCTATTAAGTCAGAAAAGGATATTTGCCCTCAGAAATAAAAGATATCTTTTCCTTTTTAATTTTTTTCCTTTGAATTTTTATTGAGGCATAGTGATTTACAATTAATAATAGAGGAGAAATCTAGGGCTGTGACTGTGGCTCATTGATTGAGTACAAGTTTTGTTAAATGAGATTCTGATGTGAGTGACAGACAGAAAACTAAAGAAAAAAGTAGCAGGAGGTTAATTATAATAATAATAATAAAGATCACTTGTAGCACTGTTTTCCCATTGTTCATCGATTTGCTTGAGTGGGCACCAGTAACGTCTCCATTGTGAGACTTGTTGTTACTGTTTTTGGCATATCGAATATGCCACAGGGAGCTTGCCAGACTCTGCCATGCGGGTGTGATATTCTCGGTAGCTTGCCGGGCTCTCTGAGAGGGATGGAGAAATCAAACCCGGGTTGGCTGCATGCAAGGCAAATGCCCTACCCGCTACGCTATGATCTGAAATCTCCTTTAAGAGAGATTAATTGGAAATAAAGAACAAGGACCGTTTAGAGATGTGTTTTTCAACCACTGGTCCATGGATTGATCCTGATCCACAAGGGTAAAAGAGATTGGTTTGGAGGTGGAAAAAACTAATAAAAGTCTTATTTCAACAATTCATCTGGGAAATAGTAGGGTCTAAGTGGGATTGCAAGGCAAAACACCAGAATGTGGTAACATAAAATGTTATGTTTGGGCAAAAGAGAGCCACTGGATTGAAATAAAAAATGAAATAAATGCCTAGATGAATGTGAATAAGAATAATTACACTCACACCATTTAGTTTAACTATTTATTTTTCTTTTTGGGTCACACCCAGCGATGCTCCGGGGTTATTCCTGGCTCTAGCACTCAGGAATCACTCCTGGCGGTGCTTGGGGGACCATATGGGATGCCGGGGATTGAACCCAGGTCGGCCGTGTGCAAGGCAAATGCCCTATCCGCTGTGCTATCGCTCCGGCCCCGAGTTTAACTATTTTAAGTGCCTTTTAGGTCCTGCATATTACACCAGGCCCACATGAACTGAGATCCCTCCATTTGAGAAGATGACATTCACATCTAAGATTCTGAACTTAGATGTAGTCAGTCAGAAAATATAGCTGAATCTATAGAGTGTAACAGAATTCTGAGGTTTAGAGCTTAAAAGTGAGGAGTAGAGTTTCATGAAACCCATTCTGGAAAGAAAAACAAACAAAAACCAGGAGACACAGAAGCAGCCAATAAAACCTGTGCTACAATCACCTGAGCAGGGAATAGTGAGCAGAAACAAGGAGAAAGTCTTGCTCTTTTTATTCTTGTTAGATGACTTGTATTAATACTCAGTTTTATCTATGCCCTCTTCTCCAAAGGGAATGACAGATAAAGGATTATCCAGGAAGACCATCATGGAGAAGAGATCCACATAAAGGGCAAATGAAATATGGGCACTTATTCTTGAGAAGAGAGGCTGAAATGAGAATTTGATTTACTGTTTTCAAATATTAGTCAAATCCAGAGCAGATTTAATTACATACTATGAAGAAATTTAATTTCAGAATTCAATGATAATTCAATATATGAAAACCCATCAGCATCATATTAGAAGAATGTTAATGAGAAAAATGAAAGAGGAACTGAATGAATGACCATTCATCTCAGCTGATGCAGAGAGAATACTAGAAGATTTCATGGGCCAGAGTCAGCAAGTAGGGCATTTGCCTTGCGTGTGGCAGGCCTGGGTTCAATCCCTGTACCTCACAGGGTTCCCACAGCCCTGGCAAGAGTGATCCCTGAGTACAGAGCTAGGAGTAAGCCCAAAGCACTGCCAGGTGTGACACCCAAAGACAAAAAACAGAAAACAAAAAAGGATACTTGAAAATGTCAATACCTTTTATGTAAACGATAACCTATACAACATGATACAAGCCGTATATGACACACCCACAACTAAGTACTTGGAGTAATATAGAAATGGTAATTAATAAATTCTTTCTTATCAATAATTTCACTAAATGCCAATATCTTGAATGTGTTAATCAAAAGACATAAAGTGACCAGGTGGATCAGGGAACAAAATTCAAGTTTCCGTTGTCCACAGGAGACCCTCTTGTGCTCCAATGATAAATAAGAATTTAAAGCAAATGGTTGTAACATAGCCTAAAATGTCAGGAATAGGCATACTTGTATCAATCAAAACATATTTTAAGCTACAATAGTTAATAATAGACAGGGACAGACATTACATAAGACTAATATCTCCAGAGGATTTAACACTCGTTCAGATATTGCAACAAATTAAGGAGCATCAAAATATATAAATCAACTATTAACAAGCTTAAGCAGAGATATGTGCAGTAACACAATAGTAGTAGGGAACTTGAGCATCCCATTCTCATCAAAGGGCAGATCACCCAGATAGAAAATCAAGGGAAACAGCAGTTTAAAGGAGTGTTTTGTATGAGCTGGATTTAATAGATGTTTATAAGTGTTCTCCACATCTCCTAAAACTTAACACACTCTTCTCTAGTGAGGATGGGGCATTAAATTTTTTTAAATACCATTTTAATCGAGGTATCAGGATTTACAATACTTTAAAAAAATTTTTTTTTTTTTGCTTTTTGGGTCACACCTGGCAATGCACAGGGGTTACTCCTGGCTCTGCACTCAGGAATTACTCCTGGCAGTGCTCAGGGGATCATATGGGACGCTGGGAGTCGAACCCGGGTCGGCCACGTGCAAGGCAAACGCCCTACCCGCTGTGCTATCTCTCTAGTCCCTTTATTTTTTACTTTTGTGTCACACCCGGCGATGCACAGGGGTTACTACTGGCTCATGCACTCAGGAATTCCTCCTGGCGGTGCTCAGGGGACCATATGGGATGCTGGGAATGGAACCCAGGTGGGCTGTGTGCAAGGCAAACATCCTACCTGCTGTGCTGTCACTCCAGCCCCAGGATTTACAATACTTTTAATTAAACTTTTTATGCATACATCATTCTAACACCACACCCATCACCAGAGCCTGATCCTTCCACCCACAGCCCCTACCAGCCACATCTTCCCATATAAACTCCGTACTACAGATAAAATCTCCAGGGTTTGTTGCTGATGTCATTGTTTTGGGTGTGTCACTGGCTGTGCTCAGGGCTTCCTCCTGGGTCTGCACTCAGTAATCATTCCTGGCAGGGATAATGGGATCATATGTAGTGTCAGGGATTGAAACCAGGTGGACTGCATACAAGGCAAGTGCCTTCGCTACTGTACTATTTTTCTGGCCCCACATGGAG